TGGAGACCTTTTTTTATAGAGGCGGGGGAGAAGAAAAACACACTCCTTTTTTTTTTGTGTTGGGCAATTTTAAAAAAAAACACCTAGGGGGCGGGCCCCACAAACACAGGGTTTAAAAACTGAGAGAAGGTGTTGGTGTTTTTGGGATAAACCCCCCCCCCGAGGGGGGGGGGGGGGGGGGGGGCGGCATGTATATGTGTAGGTGTGCTTAAAGTTCCAATCAAAATATAAAAGTAGAGAAGATTTAGAATTGTATCCTTGTTTCCAGCTAACCTCACTAATTCCCGTCTTTTGAACTCTGGATGGAGAATCTGAAGGTCTGAGATCCAGCCTCAGAATTGCCAGTCACTTAGGTGTTTGATTGTGGACAAATCATCTAACTTGGCTGAGCTCTGTGTCGTTACCTACAAAATAAGGATAATTATATCTGGTCAGGTTGCCTCACTCTCAAGTGAAGATAATTAACTTTAGTGTTTTGACATCCTCATTTGTATTTGTTTTTTGCTTTCTTTGTTATTTTTTAAAAAGTATAAATAGCAAGGATGCTACAACTAAAAGAAAAGTAAGTTAGGGAAAGAGTTTTTACCTTTTCAGAATTTAGGAAGTCAAATTAAACTTACTGCCCTAAATATCTTTAAAACTCGGGATATTTTCAAGGATCTTTTCTTGTGGGAAGAGTAGTTTGAGGATGACTGATGAAATTTTTACTTACATGCCTCACTGCTCCTTTTTTATGTTATGTTCATCTTAACATGCTTTCTGTGTAAAGATTATTTTTAAGTGTTTATATTTAATCAGTTTTGCATATTTATGTAGAGATCCTCTTGGATTTAAGAATAATTGAGCCAATACTTGATAGAGAAACTTTTTAAAATACAAAACAAATGAAATTATTGTGTTGACTGACCCTGAGGAAAGTGACTGACAATATTTAAGGAAGTATCACGTACAAAGAGAAATGATGGCTGAATATCTTCCTGATTATGAAGCATCATGCCGTTTAGTGGTTATCAGGTGCTACACTGTTGAATTGATTACCCAGAATGTATGCCTTCGGCGTGTTCCGTTGAGGTGTTGAGGCAGCACCTGCTGCTGATGTCCCCTTGCAGTGCTGTGTCTGGGTTAGGATAAATCTAGTCATTTAGAAAGTAAAGTCTCAGTACTATTGGTCAATTGGATGAGAAGTGTTTCCAAGAGTCACTAGGTTGCTCTAAGGCTGAGTTTAACTGAAAATGTTGCCCCCTGGAAAGCTTCACGCTCCCACTAAACAATGAAAATTTAAAAATGTTTAAAGTAACCAAATGGTTATTTTGTACAGTATTTCTGTTTGCACTCTTCTTCTTTCAATGTGTTTTGTGTTGTTTGTGTGTTTGTTTTTTAATCACTGGCTCATCCCCATAAACTGTCCAAGTAAAAGCATAGCCTGAGCCACCGCCCTCTACTGAGTCCTCTAACAAAGTGATTTCCCCATTAAAATCTGGAAACTGGTACCAAGACAAGGCACTACAACCAACATGCATTCGTTGTCTTATTGTTTAAGTAGTCTTGGGCGGATGGGACTATAAAAAATCATCATAGTTGATTTCAAAAGGGCTCCATAATTAAGGAACAATATAGTCCAGAAACCTAATTACAGGTAAGGTGTTCTTGGGCCTGGTAATGTGATAATATTTAATATATGCCCGACTGTGAGGTGCAGAAAGGTTTGCCACGTCCTGCCCACAGAGGAACCGTGTTAATCTCAGGCTGGATCTCCAGCTCTAGCAGCTTTATTAGTGACGCTGATTCACACACGGTAAGAGCACCAAAGCCAAGAGCCGGCCCAAGAATGTGTTGCACAACAGCAGACATGATTCCACAAGCAAGCTGGTCTTGCAGTCTTTTAAACCGGAAAGGTCCTCCAATTCTGAGCTCGTTTGCCTCTGATTCATTCGGTGGGCGAGATCGTGCCTGAGCCTTATTGCTGCTGGAGCACTCAGAGCCCCGCAGTCTATTGTATATCGTTGCTCAGTTGATCTGGATTTATAGGCTCAGGTCTGCCGGAGATTTAAGCAGCACTTGAGCCATTTCGTGCCAGACTGCTGACAGGAGAAAAATAGAGTCAACCTCATTTTATATTCTTTGTAATAGTGAATTGCCTCCTGACGATTTATAGTGCTCTGGCTTTTCTTTTGCTATTATGACAGGGCCGACTTCAGATAAATGGTTGGCAGTTTTGTTAAGCTGAGGAAAAATCTACTGAGGCTGTTTCAAGGTCATTTTGATAGGCTGTCTTCTGAAAATCTGTCTTCCATTTGAAATTAGTTCCTGGCAAAGCTAATGCTCTTCCGTGTACAAGTAGGTACCAAAAAAATGTATTTCTTATTACTGAACATCAAAATTCAACATTATGGCAGGACACATCATATAGAGCTCCTTTCAGACTGTCTTTTCCTTTGTGAAATATGCATAACTAATTCTCTCCAAAGAAGTTATGTTTTCCATTGTGGTTTGTGGGAATCTAAAAAGATGAAAATTTCTCCTCTGAACCACTGTTATGCTTAGCTAAATGAAATATTTAATGACTGAAATGACCTCCCTGAAAATTTTGTAGAGAAATTGGATTAAAATGAATGAAATTAGGAGAAGAAATAAATGACCCAATTACAGGCATCCGGAGTGACCACAATCTGAGGTTTCTCCCTGAGACTTTACACCTGTGCTAGTGGTTTCACATTATTCAGCTTTACAATAAGTAGTGGGAGCAACTAATCAAGTAAAGCTTTAAATGTGCAAATATATATGTGTGTGTATGGTTAGAAAATTCATGACAGTTATTCACTTACTCTATACCTCAGTGACTTTCAGAGAGGAATGTAGGTTATGTTGTTTATCACTTAATTATCAACAGGTTGAAAAAATGCTATATTAACCAGTTACCATAATTCCCAGAGAAAGCAATGCATAACTTACAGGCATATTTGAGTGTCAGAAATAGGCTCGTTTCTCCATGTCAGCTTAAGGGTTATTCTGATTAACTCCTCCGTGTCTCACTTGTGATTCACCAACATAGCATAAATTTGAGGCCCTAATTATATGTTCCCACTTGGAGGGAGATTTGACCTGCCAAATGGAAACTCAAGGAAGCAATGGCATATTTTTGTTAGGATTTGTCAGCCTGTCCTCAAATTAAATATGTGATATACTATTATCTCAGATGGAAAAGAACCTTTTGGTAAAATGTCTTATTTCCTCAAACTGCCATCCATGTTCTTGCCATGCTCCTGTACAAGAAGTTTGTATTCCTCTGCATGGACACTTATCTTAGCAGGTGGGAATTTGTTTTCCAGTCTACAAAAGAATTATTAATCCCATCATGCCTCATGACTTTTCAAGATTCCCAAGCTGTAAGTGATCATTTTGACCTAATTACTTGCTGTTGAGAATCTCGGGCCATGGTATGCTATCTTCCTCCTCTTGCTTCTCCTCTTCCTTGGCAGATCTTTTGGAAAATATAACTGGAGGATGAAAGCTTCTTACAAAAAGCTTTTCAGTTGTCTCTTAGATTCAAAACAAAGTCCTCAGCATGAATTCGTAGCATCGTCTGGGTTTTACCTTATTAACCAACTTATATTTTCCACTCCCTTGAATTTATAATTTTTGATCATCAAAGTCTTATTCTGCCACCTGAGTCAACATCCTAGCAGGTTGGGGTGTCATTGTAGGGATGGCCTCAATTGATTTTGGAAGCTGGTCATAAGACTTCATAAACAGCCTGTGGTCTTTGGGCTTCTTTCTTTCTTGTGATCTTTACTGCTCATGTTCTTATATTTCAGGAAAAGAGACCTTTTCTCCATGAGGAGAGGAAAATTACCCTTTAGCTGGACCCTGAGTAAGGGATGCAGTTTTCTTTCCTTGCCCATGAATTCCTCCTACTCAGTCAGTTAGTAATCCACCCACTACTCCAGCTCCTCATAATCTGCCTCTAGAGTTCCCATTCTCTTCCTTCCCGTTTAAAAAATTATATTTTTTTCTGTAGTCAATATTTGCATGTTCTTAGTTGCATAATGTTTTGCTTATACCATCAAAAGGACCTTTATTTCTTGTGCATGAGGAATATTATTCAAGTTCATTTACATCTGACTATGATATCTTACACTGCTTGAAGCTGACTGGTACTGGGAATGCCATTCTTCTCTGGTTCTGAGTCTGTGGTGTTAACCCCTTATGAAACCAGTAAAATCTCTTAATACAAACCACTAGGAATTCTAACATTATTATATTGAAGAAATTTTACATTATGCTATTGAAAAACGCTCTCCCAGCGTTCTTCTTTATTTTCTTTATTTTGTTTTTTATATATAGTCTTCTTTATTTTTAAGTGCTTTTCCCTGGATCTTTTTCTTTTTCTGTCTCAGATAAAATAAAATTTTAAGTTTTGAATGTTATACTCTATTTTTTCTCAGATAGTTAGGGTTAGTGAATTTCATTAGCCCATTCTATGAATGACACAGATGATCAATTATCATTGTTTTATGTATTAGAGTTACAAATTTTTGTGCCCTTTTTAAACAGAAATAAATTGCTTGAATAAGTGTTTGAACAAGGGGTTTTAGAACGTAGAAATCTAGTAGAAAAACTTAATTGCACTTGAACTTTTAAATACAATATCAAACAGTATGGTTGCCTTTGGGAATGTAATATGTAAATAAAGGAATAATTTTATAACTTTTTTTTTAATTTTAGATGAAAAAGAGAAATTCGAACCCACAGTCTTCAGGGATACACTTGTCCAGGGGCTTAATGAAGCTGGTGATGACCTTGAAGCTGTAGCCAAGTTTCTGGACTCTACAGGCTCAAGACTAGATTATCGTCGCTATGCAGACACACTCTTCGATATCCTGGTAGCTGGCAGTATGCTTGGTAAGCCTTGCATTATAGCATCTTCTTGTAGTGTATCTACTTTTAATTCTATTGAAATATTTTTTTACAAGATAGAATTTTTTTAAGTTTATATTCGTGGGAGTCTCACCAATTTTCATCTAGATTACAATTTGGAATAGTATTAATGTGGCTGTGAAATGATTAGTAATTTAAAAAGGCATAGAATTGAGGCTTTTTGTTGACATTAAAAATGGCTTTAGATAGAAGCCAACTTTCCCATGTGTTCCTAATCCTTAAAAGTTTCTGGAGCATTTAACACAGGAAGAATAATTTCTGCAGTATAGTATAACTTTGTATATGTCATCTAGATCCTTTCAGTATGTTTATTTAACCCCCGTTACCATGCCAACTTTTCCTTTTTGGGGGTGGGGGGGTGCAGTAAAATGTAACTGTCAACAAATTTAAAAAATAATTGTTAGTGTTTCTCTAAATGCCATTTCATCCATAAATAAAATATCGAAGAAATATAGTTTAAATCTAGTTTTTAAAACATCTTTATAACTGAGTTTATAGCTAAAAGGACTAAAGAGAGATTTCGAAAGTATTAAAGATAGGTAGAAAAGGAAAATAAAAACTTACCTAATAGAGCAGAGGCATCAGGGAAGAAGGCTGCAGAAACTATTTTAGTGACATAGTATCTTGATCTAAATGTTTATTAGGTATCATAACCACCCTTTGTTTCTTTCATAGTTATTCTCAGTAAGAACTTAGTTTTGATCATTGGTTTCTGTAGTAGCCATAAATCACTGGAGTGGTCAAATTCCCGAGGCCAGTGATTTTCAACTGCCATAGGAACATTTGCAGATGTGTGGAAGTGATTTGGTTGCTATGTAGACTTAGGAGTGGAGGTCATGTATGCTACCTACTTTACCATACAAAGGACAGTCAATACAATGAGAAATTGCGCTGCCCTACCCACTGTAGTGCCTTTCCTTGAGAAACACTGCTTAAGCCAGCCTACTGTAAGACAGGTATATACATTTCTCCATTCTGAAGTAGACTCACCCTTTAATTTCTCCCTCTGAGCTCATGTATTTATTACAGTATTTGCCCCATTTACTACAGGCCCCTTTTTGATCTGTACTGATGGTTTTCACTGCATAACAAATTAATTTTGTTGTTATTGTTTATAAATTATCTCACATCATCACTGTAGGTAATTCAAGTCCACACATAAAAGCTGCTATAGGTAGTGTGTTCAAACCCAGAGGTGACAATTTTTAATATTTTGCTTAATTCCTAAATACACAAACTTTTGAGAATGGGTTAGTATACAAATATGATACACTATATGTTATTTTATATTTACTCTGCAATATGTTATTGCCTTTTATGTCCATGAGTGTTACTTTGGATGATTCTAAAGAAAATTAAAACCATACTGATTTTTAAGAATATTCAACTCCTTTCCAATGTAATCACTATCTGTTTACACATATTTGTGCTTTTATTTGGTCATATCTTTATGTACTTAGCAAGAGATTAATGAATTGATGGATGGAAATATCTATGTCTGTCTATGTCTGTCAGTCTCTCTGAGAGAGAAAATTAGCCCAAAAAAGGAATGTCAACGTTTTATCAAAAATCATATGTTCCTAGCCCTGGCCAGGCAGCTCAGTTGGTTGGAGCATTGTCTTGATGTGCCAAGGTTGCAGTCTCAACCCCCCGTCAGGGCACATACAAGAATCACTTGTAAATTTACACTGGTAAATTCCATGCAAAAATAGTCTTCAGCAAAATGTGGTTCTTGCCAAAGTGACACATGACTTGATTAGTCAATGATATGGACCCTCTTCCGGTCTCTGTGCCTCCTGGCAGCATCGTTGACCCTTTGTTGTGCTTGAAATGTTTTATGTTTTTCCCTTACATGAACCATTTAGACTTTCTCCAACATCTGGATGTCACTTCTTACATGACTCCTGGGTTTCTGTACTTACTCTCCCCACATATGTGTTAAATTATCTGTATGCTTTGCATTGATCATCTCAGTGCTTCATTTACCATGTGTATAATGATAATCAGCAAATTTACATCTGCAGGCCAGGGTTCACTCCTTCATGCCTCATCCATACATCCAAGAAGAGGGTAGAGCACAATGTTTGGTACAACTGAGCACAGACCATACATCCCTGGATGTCTACTGACGCCAGACCTATGATATAATGACTGAAGCCAGTCAGGTGCATTCTTTTTATATAAACACTTTGTCTACTTATCAACTTTGTGAGAATTTTCTTCCCACCCACAAAAAATATTTACCTTCTCCCATTGTTCTTAAAGCAACATTTCCTTGGTATTTCAATTCTACCCTTTGAAGAATAGATATAAGAAATAGTTCACTGGTTTTACTTCTACTTGGAGAAAAACAGCAAGCTTACCAAAATTTTTAGAAATAGCAGTTAATACGTGGTCCCAATATCAGGGAAAATAATATTTAATGTTGCAATATTAATGTGTAACAAATGTTTTGTAAAAGAATGCAATTTTAAAAAATTGCCACTTTAAAAAAAAAGACTGTAGTTTCAAAATCAGGCATTTCTGGTATGTAACTTCCACCAGGTTGGAATTATTAGTGCAGGATTATTAAGAGATTATCATCTTAATAAAATGTTGGTCCAGGTGGTTGAATTCATTACAGAGAGCTAATTAAATCTTATGCATAATTATTTGAATGAAAATAGACTCTTGAAGGAGCTGACTTTTCTAAAAACTAATTTACTTATAAAACTGTATGCTGAGGTTAAGGAAAAGTTGGCTTTGGCTATGTGTAGACCTTTTCATCCAAAGATTTGAAATCACAAATTAAATCAAGGCATTTATACACTTAAACAAAGTGGCGGTACAAATATGTAATCTATAAATATTTGTTGAGTGTATAAAAGATAGTAATCTAACTTGGCTTACTCAAACATTCTACTCTAATTACAGTGAAGTAGAATCAGGAAACAGAAATACCTGCTGTTCCCCTTCCGTTCTTCTAATCAACCCATGTTTTAATGGCCACCATTAAAACTTGCAGGAGGAGTCGTGCACTGTGGAAAGTTGAGTCGTAGAAAAATGGCATTCTTTTGTTCTAGTCCATTTATTTTATGACACCATATCAGCCATGGGAAAAAGAAGATGAGAGGAAATAAAGCACACTCTTGCCTTGCCAATGTAGCTACAGAGTGACCAAATACAAATAGCAAGGAGTCAGAGTGTGCACTGCCCAACCCTGCATGGAAAACTGGATTAGTGGAGGAGGGAACAGTTTTATTACCTACTCCAGTGGAAACCAACAAGACCTATACTATAAAAGCCAGGTGTGGTCAATGCCAGTGTTGGTGAACTAGAGTCCGACAAAATATTATCAAGAGTGAAAAGTGAACAGTGTCTTGCTATGGGAAACATCAGGAATTGCATTGAGAACAATTAAGTTCAGTGAATAAATATTATTGCTTAGCTGCCATGATTAAGGATATAGTTGGGAAAGACCATACTTATAGTGATAGAATCTAGTGAAGGCAAGAATGTAGAACAACAATCTCATATAAGTGGTGGGAGTTTAAAATGGAGCAACCAATTTGCATTGTATTAGAGCAGTGGTTCTCAACCTCCCTAATGCTGCGACCCTTTAATACAGTTCCTCATGTTGTGGTGACCCCCAACCATAAAATTATTTTCGTTGCTACTTCATAACTGTAATTTTGCTACTGTTATTAATCGTTATGTAAATATCTGATATGCAGGATGTATTTTCAGTGTTACAAATTGAACATAATTAAAGCATAGTGATTAATCACAAAAACAATATGTAATTATATATGTGTTTTCCGATGGTCTTAGGCGACCCCTGTGAAAGGGTCGTTGGACCCCCAAAGGGGTCGCAACCCACAGGTTGAGAACCGCTGTATTAGAGGAACATAAACAAATAGATAAGAACATTTGTATTCCTCTACATGCACATCACTCTATGAAATGTTATGTTACTCTTAGAGTTGACCTCTACTTTTATTGTTTCCCTCGAGGTGCAGGGTTGATCTGTTCTGCCCATTACCTTTCTCTTTTTTAGCCCCTGGAGGGACACGTATAGATGATGGTGACAAGACCAAGATGACCAACCACTGTGTGTTTTCAGCAAAAGAAGATCATGAAACCATCCGAAACCATGCTCAGGTAGAGCCTATCATGTTTTGTTAGAAGGGAAACATTTGAACAGGATTCAGGGAAATATTAGGTTCAGGAATTCTACAGGCCACTTTTTAAATAGGAATAGTTTATAGCTTATAACATTGAGAGATACTCAGTTGTTGTAATGGGCATCAAAATATTATGAAGGTCGAGATTTATACCTCTCACCTGTAAGGGAAGTGGGGAATTGAATAGTCATATATTTTCTAGTGAGAGTATAAATTAGACCAACGTTTAAGGAGAGCAATTTGGTGTAGTATCTTTCAAAACTAAAACTATATATTTTTTTGACCCAGGAATTCCACTTCTAGTATGCATACAGTGTTAATTATCATAGTGTTGCTTATAAAATCTCAAGGGATTAAAAACAGTGTAATAGTGGACCAATAGAGTATAATTAAGTAAAGTTTGGTAATTCATATTAAGAGACTATCATGTATCTGTTAGAAAAGGAAGAGTAAGAAGATATTTGTGATACATAAAACCTATTAAGGATTCATATCCAGATTAAATAAGGAACTGCAAGTCAGTAAGAAAAAGACAAGCAACCTATTAGGAAAAGACACCTAGGCATTTCAAAGAAGAGGAAATACAATTCCCAAAAATAACAGATGAAGACAAATTCATTGAAATTATGAAATATCCTTCTGCATTCATTAGATTGGTGAAAAAGTTAAGTCTTTAGGCCCTAGTGAGGGCCAGGAAGTGGTAAGAATGTAAGAAACAACATTATCTTCTAAAGCTGAAGACAGCATGATTAGCCACTTAGAATTGGTGTGTTCCTATTCTGATTCTGTCTTGGACCCTTCTTAAGAGTCACTTCTTATTCCCAACTATATGTTGTGGTTGAGTCCAAGATCACCCAAGTCTTGTTATACACATTTCAATACATTCATGAAAAAGGCCATAGGACTTACTGACAACTAAGTGACTGGATTTCAGATGCTAGAAACTGTCTTTACTTTGGTTATTAAAATGTGAAAGGCATGCTAAGCCAACTAATATGAGAAATGTGGCCACTAAGAATTTTAACTTCAAAAAATTATTCCAATTACATGGCATTTTAGCAAAGGTATTTCTTTCCTTTTTATATATAAGAAATATGTAACAGATAACTTAAAAATAGTTTTAAGGATTGAGTGGGCCCTGGCCAGTTTTGTTAAGTGGTTAGAGCGTCAGCCCTTGGACCAAAAGGTTGTGGGTTTGATTCCCCATCAATGGCACATAACTAGGTTGCAGACTCGATCCCTGGTCCAGGTCGGGGTGCCAACAGGAGGCAACCAATTGAAATGTCTCTTGCATCAATGTTTATCTCTCTGTCCACCAACCCCCTCCCTTCCTTTCACTCTTTCTAAAAAAAAATCAATGGAAAAAGTAAAATATCCTTGAGTGAGGTTAAAAAAATCTTTGTTTCTCCTCTGTATGTGAATTGCCTACAGAGCCCTGAGCAGGTGTGTACTGAAGCAAATGTATTCAATTCAAAAACTGGACTTTTATATTTCCCGCTCAGCCTTTGGTTTATCAAATAAGTATAGTTCACTAAGGACCAGAATTTCTGAATTCTGTTCCTGCTCTCATACTTAATAGCAGTTCCTAGATCTGCCTAATATCACGTTAATGCCCACCTTATCTTCCTCACAGAACTTTTGTTAGAATTAAATTCACGCAAGTCACAAGGTGTATTATTTGCTAATTGAGTTCCACTGGGAAAGAAAGATAAGAAGGCCTGAAAGAAAAATACTCCTCAATCCCATGCCTGGGCCATTATTCTTTCCCCATAAAGGGCAGCACTGTAGTATTTACTCTTGGACCCTGTCTTGACTGTGTTATTATGGAATAAACACTGGAAGTTTTAGATGAAAATATATTATGTGGATGTAAGAGAAAGGAATTAGATGCAGGAATCATTTTCACAGTTATCAAAATCCTATATAATAAAAAGCTAATATGCAAATTGTCTCCTTGACCGGGAGTTCAATCAGGGGCAGGGCCACTGGCCAACCACCTGCAGCCCCTCCTCCTAGCCGGCCCAGGACAAGCTGGCCAGACCCCACCTGTGCACAAATTCGTGCACTGGGCCTTTAGTAGAATTTATAAAACCCTACTTAAATAAGAGCATTGTATAGTCTTATTGAGCTGCTATAGCTATATAAGATTGGGTGACTTAAAGAACAGAATTTTATTGCTCAGTTTGGAAGGCTGGGAAGTTCAAGGTGCTAGCTGATTTGCTTTCTAGTGAGGTGTTCTTTCTGGCTCTTTTAAGTCCGATCAGATTAGGGTCAAGCCCTTAGGACTTCATTTAACCACCTCCTAAAGTCCCTATGTCCAAATGCAGTCACAACTAAGAGAGCTTCAGCATATGAGTTTGAGGAGAACACAAACATTCAGTCCAAAAACAAGCATCTCTCCACCTAAAAAACAGTCTAGAATGCCACTGACACAGTTACATACCCTGTCGGAGAGTTCTTACTGGATTGTGGTGGTCAGTAATCCTTTTTTGCCACTAAGTAAAAACAATTTTGCTCATCTGCTAAAAACTGTTTGTGTCTACATAGAGTATAAGCTCCCCTGATCTCTGATCTCCTTGCCAGCATACCTACCATCTATGTGATGATATATGTAACCCCCTTCATTCAGGGTTGATATTTTACTTACAAATAGTTGTATTTATATTTCCCAATTTGTTCAAATACTGGATTTCGTAACAAATTCCTACAGGATATTTTTAAACACATTCTTCAGATTATACTCTATTGCCTATGACTTACGGAATTTCAAGGAAATACTTTTATTTGTTTTTATAGCTTAATTTGTACTAAAGGGATGGCGGGTGACATGTTAATCCCACATGGACTGCACATTTCAGTTATTTCAATCTCTGCATCTCACAGTTTTAAAATTATTTATTTTCTTTTTCACCAAAGTTATTTTTGGTTGCTCACCTGTTATATTCTTCAATGAATTTATTGTATTTAACATGTACATTTTGATGCTGTTTTTCCCCCTAGACCAGTATAACTCCTTTGAAATGCTTACAGTTCTCATATCACAGCATGAGTATGTTTAAATACACTTTTTTTATTGTAGATCTATGTTGTGGTTTGAGTGAGTTTCTACACCTCCTCCTATTGCCTTTTAAAATTGTTTGCAAAATATTGAATGGTTCTCTTTTATGTTTAGGTCTTCAATAAACTCATCAGGAGATATAAGTATTTGGAAAAGGCTTTTGAGGATGCAATGAAAAAGGTAAAAATTCAAATGTAATGTCTTATTTAAGTTTTATTAAATGTTTGTTGAATGAATGAATGAATGAATGACTATAACAAATCATTAGCTAATACCTATAGGAAGAAATACATAATTAGCCTAGATTTTTCATGCATATTTAATATAAGCATGCTTTGTTCAATAGGAAGTTTTAGAGAATATGATCTCTGGCCTTACAGAGCTTAAAATAAAAAACAGAAATATGCAAGAAAAATAAATATATCCAAGGAGGAATCAAGATAAGGTGATATAATTAGTTGAAGTATATGAAATAGCACTGCACAGCAGCTAATACTCAGTAAATTTCTTAAATTTAAAAAATATGCTTTAGCAAAAGGGATAAAACACATTTTGGAGATAATGTATAGGAGTAAATCTCAGTGATTTTTCTCATCTGCAAAATAGCTGTAACAAGATTGCAAACCTTATGGTAATTGTGGGAATAAATATCTATATATATAAAAGCCTAAGTGACCTGCCAACCGTCCAGTAGCTATGACGTGCACTGACCACCAGGGGGCAGACACTCAATGCAGGAGCTGCCAAGTGACAGCAACTTTGCAGAGCGCCCTCTCACACTCTGGGACCCCTCAGGGGATGTCAGACTGCTGGTTTTGGCCTGATCCCTGCAGGCCAGGCTGAGGGACCCCACCGGTGCACGAATCCATGTACTGGGCCTCTAGTACAGTGATGGCGAACCTTTTGAGCTCGGTGTGTCAGCATTTTGAAAAACCCTAACTTAACTCTGGTGCCGTGTCACATATAGAAATTTTTTGATATTTGCAACCATAGTAAAACAAAGACATATTTTTGATATTTATTTTATATATTTAAATGCCATTTAGCAAAGAAAAATCAACCCAAAAAATGAGTTTGCGTGTCACCTCTGACACGTGTGTCATAGGTTCACCGTCACTGCTCTAGTAACATATAAAGTGCTTAACATAGTGACTGGCCTCCAGTGAGTAGTGAAATAAATAGTAGCACCTTATTAAAAAGTCCTCTTTTTCAGTAATTGCAGCATGTTCCCCCTTCCAATTTGTAGTTCCTCTGTGTTTATATGTAGCAGTCACTATATTAACTTGTTACAGATTTGTATGTTTCTTTGTCATTGTTTCCAGTTTTAGACATCTGCCTAAATTATAAAGGAACCATAACATCTATTTGCTATTTACTTTACTGCTTCTTCCTGTTCAAAGTGGTTCTATATATAATGAAAAACATTTGGGCTGGAAAATCATTTTTTTTTAATTAACATTCTCAATGACCCAACTTTCTATTTATGAGTCCTTCAGCAAGGATACCTAAAACTATATGCTTAAAGGTGTTCATCACAGTATTGAGGAATTACCTAAATGTGCATTGGTGGGCATCTGATTAAATTATGGTAACTCTATACAGGGGCATACTATGCAGTATTTCAAAGAATGAGGTATAGCCACATGAATTAATTGGAGAAAATGTACATGATAGATTGTTAAATGAAATAGCAAGGTACAGAGCAACCATTGGTACTAGTTTAACCTTGGCAAATCACTTAATTTTTTGTGCCTCTATTTCCCTTTCTGTAAAGTAAAGATCAAGGCTGTTGTAGATATTAATACACATAAACTGTTCAGAAGAGTAGCTAGTCCACTCTACTAGTTTTAGTTATTATCAATATACAGTTCAGTAAAAGCAACCTGTATTATACATATAGTTATTTGCAATATACAGACATTCAGAGTTAATGTGAATTCTAAAGGAGTATGAATAGAGAAGAGGTTTTTTACATTTTTATGTTATTCTTTGTTAGATTTTATTCTACTGGCAGTATTACTTTTTTAATATGAAAAATTTAAATGGAAAGGCATGTGATCCATTATATTGCTAGATGCTTAGAAAAATGAGTGCTTGATTAAGTAGAAATGAATGTGATGAAAAAATGATGTAAAGTATTCAGATAAATTAAACATCTTACTGCTTTGTCTAATAATATCACTCATGTTTTTACTTGCCTTAGCTCATTTCAGCCGTGAAAACTTCCTTAATTATTTCATTCATGTAATGAATATGCTTTCAAGAATGATTTATATTTCACAGTATTCTATTTTTTAATAAAAATGCTACTGCAATATATGCAGCATATGAATTTAATGTTGATTAATAGAATTGAGCAATGTGAATATTAATTTTAAAAGAATGATCTAACTTTTGCACCATTTTGTTGTAATGGAATATTTTTAATGAATATAGGTATATTAATGTCTTTAAACAAGTAGTGTTAACATTTTTATTTTGGAAGCCATTTTACATTATTCACTTGAATCCTACTCAAGATGGATCTAAAGTGTCTGTGATTTTGTCAGTGTTTATCCTGCCCATTTCTGGTGCTCCCTGGAGCTTTAACCATTCATGCTCTCATCCCTCACTCCTGTTTTCTTGTGAACTTAGAAGGTGACTTCATTTTAATTCATCAACACTTGAACAGGCATAAATTGAGGTGAAATGGACTGGTTTGATTCCATTTCTGCCACTTATTCACAATATAAATATTTGGAGAGTCACATAACCTTTTTGTAATGTAATAATCCTTTAACTGTTAGGGATAGTAAATTAATATTGCCATACCCACCACACAGAACTAATGGAACTTCATTGGCACTTAAGCTTAAATTGGTGCCAGTAACTTTTCATTGGAGCCAAGTAATGAACAAGTCGGCAGGGCCGGATAGTGATATTGAGCCCTGGGGAGCTGAGTCGCATGCCTAAGGACTGATGAAACGGAGGAAATAGCCCGGGGACACAGTCAAAGCTCTAGGCAGAGGGGGGTCAGGAGCAAGGGGAGAGCGGGCCACAGACTCAGTACTCTTGCAGTTCATAATGAGGAGGGTCTTGGCTTCCCTGCAGCCTTTCTGGGATTGTTACTTTTTTAATTACCTCTCCAAATTGCTCTTTCCACCTCACATCAGAAGCCTCTTACCTGTCAGGAACTTTTCTTTACGGCATGTCCTCCATTAGCTCATCACCAGGGCTGGTGGTACACCTGCAGGACCCAAGAAATACCAAGTGTGAATCTTGTTATTTTTAATAGAGCATCAAGAACTTTGAAAACCCCTTTCTCACTCAACAGTCTTCTATTGAAGAGTATATATGATGTGAACTCAGAAAAAGTGTATGCAGGATGTCAAAGCTTATTGACTCTTTGCTAGTTTTCATTTATTTGTTTTGCTTTAACAAACCCAAAGAAGTAGGTAGATGAGGGGGGGAGGGGGGGGCGACCCAAAGAAGTGGAGGGGAAAATGTGACAGTAATGTATTTCAGAAAACATTACTCTCATTATGTAATGTACAAAAAGTCAAATGTAAATTATTTATGTAACTATTCACACTGTTCTCCAAATGTTTCTTCCTTCCCGTGAATGTTATCTATAGTTATATGTAAGTGAACTTGGAAGAAAGGAACTATGCCTGCTAAAGTCACTCTTTCTAGTATCCAACTGGTAACCAAACATCCCCATGTGTTTCCAATGCATGAGGACTATGCCTTGCACAGGACCTGCTGGTTGTGTACCATGGATGTGCATTCTGTGTGCTCTTTGCCCATTAGTCCTTTGCTTTATAGACATGGTTTCTTTTGTTTGACCCACAGCTTCTCCTCTTCCTTAAAGCCTTTACCGAAACAGAGCAGACAAAGTTGGCAATGCTGTCGGGGATCCTGCTAGGCAACGGCACCCTTCCTCCCACCATCCTCACCAGTCTCTTCACCGACAACTTAGTCAAAGAAGGTAATTGTTCTCGTTTTTCTTACCTGTCAGATGGGGAAGGAAAGCCGCAGATATTTAGAAAAATGTCAGTACCTATTCTTCGTGTCCTCCCCTCCCCCATGTAAGAGAATGTGCATGATCGGTGTCTTAAAAAATAAGAGAATTGTACATGTGTATTAGAAAATTGAACAAAAAATCTGCACACCTAAACAAAGACAAATAAAAACTAGTAATAAACCAGGATTTTTGGTGTAACACTCAAGGCCTTGGTCAAATACCCTGAAATTGATTTAGTCCAAACTACTTTTTTTCAACTTACACGCTACTGGCATATTTTTTGGGACAATGCTTCATTGTGCAGGATTCATTTGTGCTTTCTTGGACATTTAACCTTTTCGCCCTCAGACACAAAATGCCAGCCTGTAGCACCCGCCTCCTTTAGTACAACAGCCAAAAATGCCCCTTCACTTTCCCAGATGCCCCCAGGCTGCTATTTCCCTGATGAGGACCTTGCTTCTCGGCTGTTACCTCAGCTTGTGCTGAGATGTCCACTTTGAGCACATTTTTAAGACATTGATTGTGTTTGTTTTGAAAGTCCAGATGGCTGCATCAGAACTTAGCTTTCATGTTAAGGCATTAAGAGTTTGACAGACAGACATACAATTACTTGGTTATAGAATAAAACAAAAGTGGGCTTTTTTTTTATATAGGAGGATAATGATTTTCAAGTTATAATAGAACACAAAACAAAGAGTTATTTAAAAATAAATTAGAAGAGTTTTTATGAAAACATCTGTTTCTTCTTAGAGCTTAAAGTTTTTCTCTTATAAATGTGAAATCCAGCCTCATTCATGCCCGCAGTGAAAAGGTTTGTAGTTTCCAAGGAAAGAATAGGTTCTCTGTATTTTTCAGCTTAAAGCAGTTCAGATTTATAACAGTTCAGACTCTGTAATTGTATTGTTGATAGTATAACATTTTAAAGTAGTTCTCTGAAGAGAATTCACTAGAAAAACACAACAAAATGTAAACAGTAAATATAATTACATCAGATTATTTTAGCCCTAATAGCAGAAAAGGATTGCCTTTCTGGTTGTATTAAAAACCTAACTTCTTTTGAAACATATCAAAAAATTAAATTATTACATGGATAGATGGACAGACATGGGATAAACCAAATTTGGCAAAATGTTAACAGCTTAGAATCTAGGTGAGTATATGTGACTTTTATTGTTGAATTTGTTCAGCTTTTCTGTATATTCGAAAATTTTTATATTAAAATGTTAGTGGGGTAGGGAAGGAGAAGAAAAATACCTTTGCTATGGAAGTGACATGGTTTTTCTTTATACTCCACCATCTTTAGAAATTAAAGGATTAAACTCTGCTTATTAAATAGGAAAGGATTAAATCACACCTTTTTGCCAGTCTCTCACCCAACAAATGGCTAAGGGGGATTAGGTCATTCCACCAGATAGAATCTCTAATACAAAGAGATTTCTCCAACTTTCCCACCAAGAGCCACTTTTAATGCAATGTTAAAGGTTCAAGCCTAGATGTTGGACTCCTGATTTCAAGCATACTTTCTTTTCTTACTTAGAACACAGATTACATCATCTGCCATTTTAAACAATTTAATTGCAAACATTTATATTAAATTTTATATTGACTTTATGAACTAATCAAAGTATTAAAAATCCATGTCAACAAGTTTAGAACATAAAATTCTCCAGCTTATAAGATATGTATTATAGTCTTGGCCATAATTGGGATGGGGTGGGAGGGTGCTCCATTACTCTGATATTCAAATGAAGAAAATTTGGTAAAGTTAGTGTCTGCATAAATGATAGAGCAATTGAATGTATTTACCTGCAAGTAACTGGAAGATGGGGCCCGAATTCGTTTATAAGGACATAATTCTTATGTAACAATCAGTATAAAAATATGGCAGACTTGCCCTGGCTGGTGCTGCTTAGTGGTTAGAGTGCTGCATACCAGGGTTTTGGGTTGTATCCCACAATTGAGGCACATGGGGGAGGCAACCTATCAATGTGTCTCTCTCATGTCAATGTTTTTCTCTCTCCCCACCCTACCTCCCTTCCATTCTTTCTAAAAAAAATCAATGGAAAAGATCCTCTAATGAGGATTAACAGCAAAAAAGTATAGCAGACTTCAGGGTGGACAGCAGTATTATTTAGGACTGGGGTATTTTCCTTCATTCTTCCTCATTACTCTCTGTAGCATCAATTTCACCCCAAGGATGGTTTCCTGGTCATCAAAAGAAGTCTGGTACAGTTATGTGTGGCACATGCTTCCCAGTCAGGTTCAGTGGATATAGGATAATAAAATAAATTATCTTGCCTTCTGCTGATTGGCTGAAATTGGCCACGTGATCAGTTTCAACCCAGTAGTAGTTTCCAGGGGGATGCTTTGGGCAGATGAGCTTAAGCTGAGGTCACTAAGCTAATCATTGCAGAAGGAGGTAATGCCAGGACTTAGACTAGTAGAAGTCACCTGGCTTGAGCAAATGGGAATTCTCTTAGGCAAGAGGAAATGGTAATTGAGTCTGCGTAGGCCAACAGCAATAATAAAGCCTGCAATTCAGAAAAATCAGCTTAATATTTCAACTGCACCTTAATTCTTCATTATAAAAGAGGAACATTAATTTAGAAATTTGAAGTTTTCACAGAATAGCTATCTCCTAATTATCTGATTCTTTATATTAGGAAATAAATCCCAATTTAAATATGGATATCTATTCGAGTGGTTTCCTGATTAACATAGCTATTTTAGAAATATCTTAAAATATTGAGAATTCAACTCATAACAGCATTAATATTTTTATAGCTTAATTCATGAATATTTTTAAATATTTTAAATTTGATTTGAGAGAGAGAAGGGAGAGGGATAGAAAGATAGAAACATCAATGAGAGAGACATTGATCTGCTGCTTCCTGCACACCCTCAATGGGGACTGAGCCCAAAACCCAGGCTTGTGCCCTGGCTGGAAATTGAACAGGGGACCTCTTTGTTCATGGGGACAACACTCACCACTGAACAACACTGGCCGGGTAAATTCGTGAATATTTTAAAATGCTTTTTACAAAAAGTACAATTGTAAATGATGCATGTTTATCTATAGCTTTATATCTGCTGCTGCTAATTCTCTTTTACTGGTGTCATTTATCAGCAAATCAGTTGACATTTTAATTTTATGTCTCATGATTTATTTGTTGTACCTCAGGATCACTGTTATAAACATGAAATATAGGTGAACCACAGGGTGATATATGCAGGCAAAAATACTAGGAAGTACTTGGTTTTAAGTCCGGTTTTGACCAAAAATAATAATTTATAGTTATACTAGATTGGAATTCAACTTCCTAGTTGAATTAGGAAGTCCAACTTTGAAAAATATTGTAACTTTTTTAAAGTGTTCAAAAATGAAAAAGCTCCCTTTTTAGCACTGAATGGCACTGTGCCTAGAAATGTATCCATGTTCCCTTTGTACCAAGTCAAGTCGTGGAGTTATTTACTCATTTCTGGAATCCTGATGAGAAATGTTGCCTTGACCATCATCACAAGGGGTTTTACTTATAAAAGCAACTAAACTCTCTCTTTTTTAAACAGGCATTGCGGCCTCATTTGCTGTCAAGCTTTTTAAAGCCTGGATGGCAGAAAAAGATGCCAACTCTGTTACCTCTTCTTTGAGAAAAGCCAACTTAGACAAGAGGCTGCTTGTAAGTCTTATCTGGACAAAGGTGCTGCCTGCTTCATCCTCCGGCATGGCCTGGCAGCATCTGCAGTATAGTGCATGGCCAAAAAGCCGGGTCTGTGCTGAGTTGAAGCATGGTTCCTCTTATTTCTATGTTATGGTAGATAGAAACTAATTCCAATTTAATCTTTCTTTTATAAGTGAAATGATTAAAGACTCAAAGAAAACAAACTTTCAAATTTGGAAGTGTGTTGACATAGTGTTAACATTTATCAGAACACTTTCTTTTTTAACTAGTAACTATAGAAATTTGAATTTTTCCTATAGTACAGTCCCATCGAGCCCACCTAATTAGACGTTTGTGATATGTTGGGTTAGAGTTGAATAACACTTATCTGAAATGCATGTCGTTGTATTGACAAAATAAAAATTTAAACAACAGTCCTTGTTTATACCAAGATCCATTGGCAATACTAAGCTACTTAAGCAAGCAAACAAGTTAATTGTAGTTCATTCAAAACTCCTATTATCACAATTGCTTGATTATACTTTCACTAGAGGCCCAATGCTTGAAATTTGTGCAAGAGTAGGCCTTCCTTCCCCCAGCTGCCGGCACCGGCTTCTCTCCGGCACCGGGTACCCTGGCTTCCCTCGCAGAGGGAGGCCCCGCCCACCCACCGCAGCCCACCGGCTTGCCTTGGCTCTCTCAGCCCCAGCTTCGTCTGGAAGGTTGTCTGGAAGGATGTCTGGTCTAATTAGCATATTGTGCTTTTTTTTATTATAGATTTCTCTATTTTTATATCTTTACCCCAAAAAAAGTCAGGAACAATATTTTGTCCTCCTAATTTCTATCTGCTGCCTATTATTTCTTTCTTCTAGAAGCAACAGCTGTCCAAATGGCAGAGATTTCTACAAGTGAAATTGCTTTTACAATTTGGGGACAAAGTCTAAAATTAAAAGACACCCAGCCATCTTCTCCTTACCTAGTCTCTCAGCTGGTTTTCTCTTCTAATGTATTCTATCATGCAAAGGTGCCAATTCATGGAATAATTCTAAAACTGTCTCATTGCATTTCCAATGACTTCATACTCTTTTGTCTCTTGAAATTTGCCTTAAAATAGCCCTACTTGTGTCTTTAAAGTCTTTAAGATATGATAGAAAAGAACATTTAAGTTTCTCGTTAATTTCCAGTTAATTTCTGCCACTGACAATAGATTTCATTTAGCATGAGTGTCTGCTCTGGGCCAACACAGTCCTAGAAGCTATGCAGCCAGCAGAGAACAGGATAGAAAGTTAAAGTTCCTTGTCCTCGTGGAACCTACTTGAGAGACTTGGGGTAATCTCTGTATATAGAAGTCTGAGGCATGGCATGCTGAAGACTGCAAGAGCATTTGGTAAGAGCTAGAGCGTAGGAGATCAGCTCAGAGGAGTATCAGAGCCCATGTCATCAAGGGACTTTGGCTTTTATTCTGAAAAGATAGGAATCCTTTGAAGAATTCTCTGCAGATTTGTGCATGATGTGATTTAGGGCAGTGGTCACCAACCGATGGTCCATGGACCACTGGTGGTACATGAGGTCTGAAAGGTTGGTGACCGCTGGTTTAAGGAAACCTTTGGAGCAATGGTCGCCATCCCGTGGTCCGCAGACCACTAGTGGTCTGTGAGGTCCAAAAGGTTGGCAACCACTGATTTAGGGTACTAACAGGATGATTCTGACTGTTGCACTGGGAATAGACTCAAGAGCAAGGCTACAGTAGACCAGGCTACAGTAAATGTCATGATACAGTTTAGACAGATTTTGCCTCAGTTTAATCTGAATGATAGGTTTCAATACATTATGTAACATTTATGAGGACTTTGGATATAGTTCATATATAAACCATGAGTAATACGTTTGATGACATGTTGTTCTGAACATAATTTTAGATCAGATTTCTTAGTCACATTCGTTCTAAATGCAATATTAAATGTCAGCGTAGAATAATGGAATAAGGATTGATCTTAAGGTCACACAGCTCTGTCCTTAAATATTTCTGGCTGTGCCCTAGCCGGTTTGGCTCAGTGGATAGAGCGTCGGCCTGTGGACTCAAGGGTCCCAGGTTCAATTCCGGTCAAGGGCATGTGCCTTGGTTGCAGGCACATCCCCAGTAGGGGGTGTGCAGGAGGCAGCTGATCAATGTTTCTCTCTCATCGATGTTTCTAACTCTATCCCTCTCCCTCTCTGTAAAAAATCAATTATATATATATATATATATATATATATATATATTTTTTTTTTTAATTATTTCTGGCTGCATAATATGAGTCAAACTGCTTAACCTTTATAAAAATTTCAACTTTACACAATTATGAGCAACAGACCTGCCCCATCTTGATTCATAGCAGAAATTCAAAACAAATTAGTCCCCTGTCCCCAAATTTGAAAGACTTTTTGAATGTTAGCATAGATGTCAGTGACAAAATTTCAGTCTGGTATGAAATGTTTTCTTTAACATGAATGTGTGCTTGGTAACTGTTCCCACCAACTCTGTCCTGACATTTTAAAACTCATGACTCAACAAGGGAGACTATGGAATGATGATATTAAAATATTGAAACTTGAGCCATAACTTAGAAGCCATCTGCTTATGTCCCTATACATGGGGACAGTCCAGATCTTTCTACTGAGATGTTTATTGGAGCCATATAGCCATTGACCATATATATGCAAATCAAACCAACATAAAGGTTTAGATCTAATTTTTAGACTGTAGCAGTCTGAAAAATGTGAGAACTTTGAAAATTGCCTGAATTTCTTAGTTGGGTGTTAAAGTCACACAGGATTAGAACATGACTAAGTGTTACTGAGACTGCCAAGCTGTGTAAGGTAAAATGGAAATGAGGTAAAAATAAGAGTGGCTCTTTTTAAATTTTCCAACCAATTATGTAATGAACTGAAAAGTTGCTAGAGTGGGTTTAATTTAGATCTTGCCATGAATGTGAGAGCCACCGTCATTAACAGATTTAATAAAATTCTCTAGTCCCCAAGCTAGTATGTATAATAAAAGTGTAATATGCTAATTAGAGTGGACATCCTTCCAGACACCCTTCCTTCCAGACAAAGTCACAGTGGGCGGGGGCTGTGGCAGAGGCCCCTGGACGTAGCGGCGGCAGGCAGGGGCCATGGCTTTTGCACGAATTTCGTGCATTGGGCCTCTGGTTTTAGAATAATAGCATTTTCTCAGAATGTGAATAGAGGTCCTTGAGATGACAATAGTCAATGTCATTTTTCTAATGTTAGCTCAAATCATCTCAGCATTATTAAAACTGACCTGCCTATTCATAGTTAAGGACACCTTGTGGCTGGCTACCTAATGATTTCAATCTTTTTCTTGTCACTTTAAAACAATCCAAATATTCAAGACCCTGAAGGTACAGGGTCTTCATAAGGGACAGTCTCTGCTGTGGGCCAAGTCAGCGTGTCTGATGTGCATTTTATTTAGCAAGTTTAGTTCTGTATTTACACATACTATACTTTGATTAAAGTAAAAGAAAAATAAATAATGGTCAAAATGAGTGAAGCTAGTTTATCTAAGTTGCTTAGCTTTTTTTCTCTTTCTTTGAAAAACTGCCTAATTTTAGAAAGTGCTTAGTAAATACTGAAGAAATATACCCGAGATTTATTCTTTTTAAAACCAGTCTGTGTTCTTTCCTCCAAAATATGAGATATTCTGAGTGCTGTTTTCATATTAAAATGCTGTCCTCTATGTTTGCTAAAATATGAATAGCTGGTTCCATAACAGCCTCTCTTCTCTCTCAGGAGCTCTTTCCCGTTAACAGACAGAGTGTTGATCACTTTGCTAAGTACTTCACCGACGCGGGGCTGAAGGAGCTCTCCGACTTCCTGCGAGTGCAGCAGTCGCTGGGCACCAGGAAGGAGCTGCAGAAGGAGCTGCAGGAGCGCCTGTCTCAGGAATGCCCGATCAAGGAGGTGAGAAACCCGGCCGACCTCACTCCTGACACACCGAGCCGAGGAGTAACGCAGACCGCGTGGCACAAGCTTCACCTTCCTAAGGGGACCTTTATGCAATGACGTTAGGCAGACCCATATTTCATACTGTGGGACTTGAGGATAAATGTACACATTTCAACTTAATTCTTAGGGGAAAATAATTCGCTGAGTGGTGCTGCGTTGATACATAGCGTATAAAAATGCCTTTGCGCTGTACAACTTATTTACAAATTAACATTTCACTGAGATGGGGCGTGTGATCATCAAAAGTAATAACTGAAGGATGAATTGTGGACAACGGCCTTATTTAAACCCGAAATATTATCCGTCAAGAGCTTTAAAGGTGAGGGTGAGAGGTAAAAATGAACAGCTTGGTTGCCTTTTTCAAACCTCAAGGAAGTCAGACTGGCTCAGGTGAGCCCTCCTCTGCCGGGCCCCTGGAGATCCCTGCATGGAAAAGAGTCGCTCCTAGAAGCAGAGATGCTCTCTTGTTCTCTGCTGTCCAGCAGCTCCTGGCCAGAGCGAGGCCTATTACTTTTTGGACTAAAAATAAATCTGCTTTGAAAACAAAACATCGTGTTTTCTGTCCCTGTTGTAATCTGACAATAAGTACCAGGAAGGGAGGGACTGAGTCGAGTGTTTATCTGCCCAAACCTTTCACTCCCCAGGACGGTGAGGGAACTCCCCATCTGCCTGTTATTCTGACGACTCCCTTTCCGTGAAATGTAGGTGGTGCTCTATGTGAAAGAAGAAATGAAGAGGAATGACCTCCCGGAAACAGCAGTGATAGGCCTGCTGTGGACCTGCATCATGAATGCTGTGGAGTGGAACAAGAAGGAAGAACTCGTGGCAGAGCAGGCCCTCAAGCACCTGAAGGTACAGGGTCTTCATGAGGGACAGTCTCTGCTGTGGGCCAAGTGCCGCGTGTGACGGGATGGCCGATAGGTTCCAGCCTCATTCACCCAGACTCAGGCCAAACATATAGCTCCTAATTTTTTTCTTTTCAAATTCTCCGCTACCTAAAATGTTTCGGGTCTGAGCCTATGAAATACCTAAGGGTAAGTTTTTACTAGAAACCATGTTCGAAAATCCAAAATCCACAGAATAGTCAGTATTTAAAGTTAAAGAGGAATACTGTCTATTGGTTTCCTTTCTGTTCTACACAAGGGAAATTCTGAGTGAATCTTTTTGTTTAAGTAAACTACAAATTAACGTTAGAATTTGAAAAGCATCTGGTGGAAGAAATCAGCTGACTCTGTAAATTATCTTTTGTGCATGGATACGTATGTTTTTACTTCTGTGAATTGTCTTCTTGCTATAAAACTATTAAGAAAAGTGGGAGACTTAGGTCTGCCTTCAGAGTTGATACTTGAATTGGGCAGTGAAAGACCTTCTAGTATAAAGTAGGTTGGGATAGAAATTAGAGATAGCTCTGAGTGTTTGAGAGCAGCACAGGAGGAAACTGCAGGTTCCATTGCCCGGGGAAGGCTCCTGGGAGGAGATGACCGCTGAACTGAGGGGGTCGTAGAGGAAACAATGGCTGTCCCTCAGTGACTCAAGCCACGGAAGCTGAGGCAGAGGGAGCAATATGAACAAAACCATAAAGATGGCCTGGGAGGGGGTCTGAATGTCGGGAAGGAGAGCCTCACTCCTTGTCTCATTTTCACCATATCCAATAGACAGGCATAGTAGCACAGCATTTATCATCAGAAATTCACATTTGCCTCCCGTTGGTAGGTACACTGAGAGAAAGCTGATAAGATGCCAGGATAAAAAGTTCATTTTGATCTGACACAATGTTGTAATAAGAAGATAATCCAAAAAGTGAATGTTTTCTAAGCAACTCTCCAGGTTACTGTTGTGATTCAAGTGTTGTCCAGCCTGTCCCTCCCAGGAAAGTTAATGTCTTCACTCCCACTCCTCCTGCAGCAATACGCTCCCCTGCTGGCCGTGTTCAGCTCCCAAGGCCAGTCAGAGCTGATCCTCCTGCAGAAGGTCCAGGAGTACTGCTACGACAACATCCACTTCATGAAGGCGTTTCAGAAGATCGTGGTTCTCTTTTATAAAGGTATCCGCCCACGTGGCTCCACCGCTGTGTGTCCACGTTCTGTGGCAGTTCCTTGAGATGTAGGGCAGGGGGTCAGGCAGAGGGCAACATGGGATTACACTAATCTTTGCTAGTTTTAGGGAGGCAGCCACATTATGTGTAGGGAGAAGAGGCAAATGCTGTATATGCTGCCCTTAGGAACCAGCCCAGTCAGGCCCTGTTCTCATTGGTGGAATTGGTGATGAACTGGTTATTATTTGGGGGGGGGGGGGGGGGGGGGGTGAAAAATGTAATTACATAAAGTAATTAGGTCTGTTTTTTAATTATAAGGATTAGCTCTAATAACAGTGATTATCAAAATGTTAAGTTATATTCAGACTGTTTCAGATACCATAAAGCTGACTTTAAAATTACTGAAATAATTAGCCCTTTTACTTTCTATTTTAGTTATTTGTCCCAGCCATTCTCCTATTTTCCAAGGAAGTGGCTATTTTTAGATATTCACATTTACTGTTCTTTTCATTGTATTTTTAAGGATTAGGTTTGCCGTGACAACTGGCACTGCCTTTAATAAATGAATGCTATTATACTAGGGTTTTAACCAATTTCAATCTGTACCGACAGCATATAAAAATGATCCTGGACTATCCTTTGGTCTGTGTTTATGTAGTTTTATCAGGAGAAGAATGTGATAACTGGCAAGTCCCACTTGAAGTTCAGGAGTTGATGTTTTTCTCTGGCCAGATCTGAATTAGGTCCTCTTGGATGTAGTCATTAGATAACAATGTCTTGAAATGAAAGCTTAAATGTTACCCAGGGTGACCCATGAGAACCAAACCTGCAGCTCATGTTACCCGCCCACCTATGGTACCCAGCAGCCAAGAAAAAGAAGCAGGGCCCCCCACCCAGTGGGCATTCTGTCCCCACTGTCACTGCTGGCTCCTTATAGAAACTGGTAGAGATGGGTTCTACATTGGCTTTATGGGTGGTCAGTATTTTCTGCTATGGAAAAAAAATCAAACTGTTTATAAACTGGTAGCCTAAGCATACATTTTCCTTTCTTGCTGTTTAATTGCTAACCCCACCAACCAGTTTCTCTAACCAAATTTTTTAAAACTTAGACATAGTTGTTGAGCCTCATCTATAGAAGCACCTCATTTTATTATTGTATTTAATTTACAACAGAATAAACAAACTACTTTTTATCAGTAATAACCTCTAGGTTGCATATTGTTAGTACACAGAGACCCAGGGAAAAAGCCCCAAGACTGAGAATCTACCTTCATGAGCAGAGGGCAGGGAAAGACTGGAGTAAGAGGCAGGCCACTCCAGGCTGGTAATTAAGAGTTTATTAGGGGAAACTTCCCTAGGAGGTGTGTCCTGGGCAGCTGCAAGATGAAGTGGATTTCCTCCCTGCCACTTGGCAGGAATCAAAGAATTATATATGATTCCGGTGGGGGGAAGGGGCATTTAGTATGTGAGTGCTACCAAAGAATTATATAGGGAAAAGGGGGGATAGTCGTGGGTACTAGTACTGAGTGCTACCAGGAACAGGTAATTACTTACTTGACCAGGTCAGAGCATTGGCCCGTTCCAGGGACCAGCACATTACAGGAGGTGGTGGAGGGGACTGAGTTGTTGGCAGAATAAACATTGACTGTGATCCAGTCGTCTCTAAGGTGAGGGATTGTGGTAAGCAGTCTCCGTTCTGGCCTGGGTCCATCTCATAGGACAGACAGTGGCCATGATGGAATAGTCTCTCCTCCACACATGTGAGCTTTTACAGTTCTTCAGATTTCTCCTTTTAACCGTTATTGTCAACATTTTTCCCCGTTGTACTCCTTTTAAGTAATCTAAAGTTAGTAAGGTCTGTGACAAGTATGAGCAGGCCCAAGGGAACACAGGAAGGTAAGTGTTAACATTTTATTCTTGCCTAGTTACTTTTGGAAATGAAATCAGGAAACTTTTAAATATATCACTGAGGTGTTTAAATTGAATGTCATTTTTTTTTTAGGTAATTGCATAATTACAGTCTGTTGTCTGCATGAAATGTTTACACGTTTTCTCCTGAGAGCAGGAACCCCAGGAGTGATTGTTCCATACCACTGTTAAGAAAGTTATGTGTTTACCTTCTTTTCTTATTTGAAAGACGGTTTTTACTCTGACCTTATTTCATCCCACAAACACTTAGGCACCAAGAGACATTTATTTTTATTGCTTTTATAAGGATTTGGATGCTTTTTGCCTGTATTTTGCATGTATTTTGCATGTCTAGAAATGCTTGATGAAAGTGCATTAAAGCACTCCTTTCCCAGCTCTGATTTGCAAATGAATCACATGGGGAGCTTGTTAAAAGCCCACACCTTCAGGGGTTCTAATGCCCTAAGTCCCAGGTTAGGGTTGAGAATTCGCATCTTAATAGATTTCCTGGTGGTACTATGACATTGGTCTGGGACCACCACCTAAAAGGTGTTTGATGCCAGAGGAATAAATTCCATGAACTATGGTAGCACATTTAAGATCATACTTACCACTAATTCCATGCACACATATACATTTTACAAATACCAAACTGCGTCTTTTTGCTCTAGTGATATGGATTCCTTTTATTTATTACTAGAGGCCTGTTGCACGAGGAGATTTGTGCAATAGGCTTTCCCTTGGCTGCTGGCACTGGTTTGCCTCTGGCATCCGGGACCCAGGCCTTCGCTCTGGCCGGGCTCCGGCTGGAGCCAGCCCTGGGGCCATTAGGCTTCGCTCCGCCGCTTGGAGCCTACATATGCAAATTAACTACCATCTTTGTTGGGTTAATTTGCATACTCTCCTGATTGGCTGGTTAGCCTAGTGAAGGTATGGTCAATTTACATGTTTGTCTATTATTAGGTAAGATAAGGAACATCTTTGCTTCAATGCAAGTTTTAAAATTATGAAACTCCTCCTTTTCTATTTTAATCTCTCTTATTACTCTCTCTCTCTCTTTCCTCTCTCTCTCTCTCTCTCTCTCTCTCTCTCTCTCTCTCTCTCTCCCATAAATCCAGAGCAAGAGGACAACAGATAGTTGAGGATGTGGTTACTCATGTCCCCTTTGACAAACCTAGTTATTTTAATGAATATCATTATTGAAAGATTTTTAAATATTTTATATAAATGACAGTGTAATAAAAGTGAATAAACTACAATAGTGCTTTTCAGCAATGAAAAAAATGGTAATTGCTCATTTAATGAAAATTCACTTTCTGTATTAAAACCTAGATTTTTATATTTCTGAGACACTAAGGAAAAATAGTAAATTTATCATTAATTTTCAAACATCACATTATTCACTTTAAATAATAATGTCTCTTCCTTCTTGAAGCTAAGTACCCTAGTCTCAGCATGGAGGTCTGAAAGTAGAATACCAAATTCTCAAGGACTGTTATTTCCATTGTGGGTTTTATCAGGTGCAGAAATTTCTTAGGTTAAACTCTGTCTTTCATGCAAATTTTCCTAAAATGTTTCTTATTCTTGTTCTAAAGAAAGGTGAATGGCCTTCTCACCATATATTCCCAGCATTCTTAAGATAAATTATTTTTTTACTTTGTTCCAGTATAGCATCTCTAATAAAATTCCTGAATTTCCTGAGTTCCAAATGACATAGTATTCAACTTTAATATCTAAATAACTAATGTTGCCTAAAGCTTTGCAATTCTCACACCACTTTTACAATGTTGTCTCTTTGATCCTAATGAAAACCTGAGATTTAAATTATAACTGTAGATTGAGAATTACTTAGTTTTTCTCAAGTGAATGAATTTGTCCATTACACATGGGTTGAATGTAGTCCTAACTGACAGTTTGACAGTTGTTTTGTCAAATGCTAGAAATTAAATAGTCCCTGACTTCCTGAATGTCAGTGTAGGAGAAAGCCAGGAACTAGAGTCAGCATGTCAGTTGCTGAAATAAGGCTCCCACAGAGGGCTGAGGAGTGGTGGGGTGCCCTTGAAAGGGCACCCAGCTCACAGGTGAAGCGAATTTGGAGGGAAAAGAAAGGGCTGGGATGAAGAAGCTAGCCAGCTAGGAGAGAAATGTATTTTAATCTCAGAACTCTGCAGTTGGATGTCTGTCTTAGTACTTCTATTGACATATATTCTTAGTAGGCATTTCTGGGAAATCCTAACAAAGACTTTATAGTCTCCCAATTTTATTTTATTTTATTTTATTTTATTTTTTAAATCTTTATTGTTGAAAGTATTACATATGTCCCCTTTTTTCCCCATTGACCCCTTCTAGCCTGCCCCCCACCCCAGGCCTCCACCACCCTATTGTCTGTGTCCATGGGTTACACATATCTATACTAATAAAAGGGTAATATGCTAATTAGACTGGACATCTTCCGGACAAAGCCACGGTGGCGGGGGCCAAGACAGAGACGGTTAGTGGTGACCAGGCCAGCAGGGGAGGGCAGTTAGGGGCGACCAGGCAGGCAGAGGAGAGCAGTTAGGGGCAACCAGGCAGGCAGGTGAGTGGTTAGGAGCCAGCGGTCCCAGATTGCAAGAGGGATGTCCAACTGCCGGTTTAGGCCCAATCCTGCAGTCGGACATCCCCCAAGGGGGTCCAGATTGGAGAGGGTGCAGGCTGGGCTGAGGGACCCCCCATCCTGTGCATGAATTTAATGCACTGGGCCTCTAGTATGTATAGAAGTTCTTTGGTTGGTCTCTTCCCACTACCCCTGCCTTCCCTCTGAGATTCATCAGTCTGCTCCATGCTTCTGTGTTTCTGGATCTATTTTGTTCATCAGTTTATTTTGTTCATTAGATTCCACATATGAGTGAGATATGTGATACTTGTCTTTCTCTGACTGGCTTATTTTGCTTAGCATAATCCTCTAGTCTCCCAATTTTAATTGACTTTTCTCCACTCTTCCTTAGAGGAAAAAAAAAAAAATGCCTTTTTTTTCATTCTCAAGGAGTTTCCTTCCTTTTTAGATTAGACTTTTCACTAGACAAAAGTTGAATTTCTTCCTAAATGATGTTCATGTTTTGCCTCATAAGTTGCCCTGTGTGATTGCTTCTGGCCCATGTTTATTATGTATTACCAGACACTAGAAATTTAGTCTAGCAGCAAGTATTTATTACTAACTTAGCTTCTTCTACAAACTCAAATTTACACAGTCTGTCTGGTTTTTAATGGATAATACATCTGGTAAGTTTTACTTAGTGTCCTTTTCACAATTGTCCTTGACAAGCGTTTTAGTAGTTGCATGGCCTCTTTCAGCCTCTGGGGGGCAGTAAAACACAGGAATGAGCTCTGAACTTCAGAAGGAAATACCCAAATACTATTACTAAACAAGTCTTAACCAGCTTTCCAACATGAACATTGTATCAGATGTAATTCATTAAGGTGAGGAGAAAAATAGAATGTCCCTTTACATGTTTGCCACACTTTTAATTCTATTTTTTGTTTTATGACATTAATAATAATAGTTCTATGGGACATACATACAATTTACAAACTGAACAATAGACATATGTTGGGTGTACATGCTCAAAACTGTCTCATAGGGGAGCATGATCCAAACAATTGGGAGATGGCTGTTCTAAATCAAGCATCTTAAAGATGTCAGAGAGATAGATTATATAAGAGAGACTTTAAATCCGTGTTTAAGGTAAGTAGTTGAAAAATCTCTGTAAAGCATTCTTGCACAGAAACAAGTCACTTCCTCAGGCTCCTCGCCTCTAGAAAAACTAGGTTTTGATGGAAAGTGGGTGGGGAAGTTTTCTCATCGTTGTGATTGAAGGATGTGGAGCTGGGAACAGAAGAAGCTAAAAGACTAGAAGCTAAGAGTAGTTCCATAGGACTCCTGATTCAATCTTTTACATCCAGTTTTTATATCCAGACTTCCTCTTTCCTTCGCAAAATGTAGTATATTTAATTATTAAAATAAATAAAAACCTTATATTGTCTAAGACCAATTGCGTGCATTTTTAGCCAATTTGATTTCCTCAGTTAAATACAAGAGCCACTTATTAATTTAGAAAAAATAAGGTTTTGTTATAAAAAGATCAGTGACATTTTAAATAAAAATTATCAAATCATTGATCTTATTTTCATAAGCTAAAATTATATTTTGACTGCAAATACATTATTAGAGTGATTTATCAGTATTGGAATGGATTGGGTAGGTATTGGGGACAATAATAATCCTTTTTATTGGCTTTGCATCTCATTTCCCACTCAAATCCCCAAAACCAACCCATTAGATCATTGGGAATGTATGGATGCTATTATTTTGATGTTCCCCTTCCCATTCTTAACATTACATTTTTCTAAATTAACCATAACTTTATGGTATCAAGGCATATTCGTGTAATTTAAAGTTTTAGGTAATTGATAGGTAATAGATAATACTTTTTGTTAGAAACCTGTAGAAAATTGGTCTAATATGTCTGTTTTTCTCTTAATAGAATACAAGGAAAACATTACTATTGCAGTTTAGAATATGATACTGTAGGAAAATGTTAGTAATTTAGCGATAGAGTGAGTGTAGAACTATCATTATTGCATCCTGTCTACATGTTTTTATTTGCCCTTCTTTTCTCCTAAAATAGTAAATCCCCCTAAAAAGTCCAGTCATTGAGGTTGCTGCTTAATCAAGATCTGTTTGAAGTTGGCAGGATACAGAGTGTTCTGAAATGCTGACATTGCTGAGTCATTTGCAAAATCACAAAATATCTACACTGTTTCCTACCAGCAAATTTGGACTTTAAGAGGTTTCCAAGTCCCAGTGTGACTTGCATATAGGCCTGCATTATATCATGACTGATGAGAGGTATCATCATCGTCACTACTTACTAAGCTAAAATGCCAAAATATGCCACTGTTCTATATGGAAATGAGCTTGGTTCCTGTCTTCTAGTAAGTTTCAGGTATGGATTTATTTTATAAAAGAGCGTTCAATGTTAAAGTGATTGCTTTCTATTAAAGTAGATGACAGGAAGTTGCTTTAAAACATGACATTTGTGTAGTAACTGAAATCTTTGATTTGAAATTGCAGCTGATGTGCTGAGTGAAGAAGCGATATTGAAATGGTACAAAGAAGCACACGTGGCCAAAGGCAAAAGTGTTTTTCTTGACCAGATGAAGAAATTTGTTGAGTGGTTGCAAAACGCAGAAGAAGGTATGATTCCATTTAACAACTTTGGTGGCCATTTAGCAAATCCTTTCTTATAATTCAAGACAGCTGGTCTTCCACAGATTTTTCTTGCTTTCCTACAACTAAAGGTCTTGAAGTGTCTTCCATATCAAACACTCAGCCTACATCTTAGCCTTTGTTTCTGAATCAAGGCAATGAAAATCTCTACATGGCAAAAAAAGAAACGGCCCTCTTAAATTATCCACTCTAATGGAGAACAAAGAGGAAGAAATAATTAGATCTGAAAGGGAAAACAATACATTTATTTTAATCACATTATGGAATTATATAGATTTTTATAAGGACCTTTACCAGTTGACTGATATTTGAAATGGGAACACAAATTGTAAGAATAATGTATGAGAGTAAATGCAAGTAAGAATGAAAAGTTTATTTTAGCTGATTTAAAAAATAAAAGTAGTTATATTCTCTAAAAGTATTTACTAGGATATTGCATTTTTAGAAAGGCCAAGTTCATTTCAAAGCAAAGGGAACAAAAGTTTGCTACCTGCCCTCATATCTAACTATGTTACTTAGAAAATGGATACCTGGGACAACAATGTCTTGGGAGTGGGGAGGGGGTCAGGGGAGAGAAGTGCAGTAGAGACTCTCCTGGCCTTATTTAAAAGAAAGAAAACAACAACAATCATGACTTTCCTTTCTTCTCCCCTAGAATCTGAATCGGAAGGTGAGGACAATTAGATGGCCGGAGAAGCACAATGCCTAGGTCATCACACAACACTTGGATTGGGAATGCTGAACCATTCGAGAAGAGAAACTTGGCTTGTTTTCACAAAGGAAAAAAAAAAATAGGATAGGTTTCCCTTGTGCAGAAGGGGCAAATGGTTTTTGTTTTTGTTTTGTTTTTAAATGGAGCCCTGAGGCATCAGCTATTATACTTGGGACTCTACCTCTCACTCACTATATGCTAACTTAAAGCCATTCAACCAGGAGTCCAGTAGGAATCTGAATTACTCAACAGACTCCTCTTTTTTAGCTGTATTTTTCAGGTACTGTGTGGTGAACGCCCCACTGGTGTCTATTACAGGGCCACTTTGGTAGTTGTGTATCTGCTTGTGTATGTGATTTGACAAACCAGTTTTTTTAAATAAATGGCTTTATAAAAATCTGGGCCTATATTCTCAGAACTCTTATTTCTTTACCTAACATGACTTCCTACACAGATGACATTTCAGCTAATATTTTAACAAAAATATATTTAAAGATAAGATGTTAAAAATTACATTCAATTTATGATAACAATTGTATGCCAACTTTTATGTTTTATATTTTTTTATATTTAATTTTACGTGCCAACATGTACGAGGGTTTTCCTTTATTTTAGGGGGTGATGAGTAAAAGGTAAGAAGGCTACTGCACTGGAGGATATCTGACTTTGCCCCATAATTTCTAAGGTGACCAAGGTCATCGAGTTGGTGACTGAGACTGAACTCAATTTCCCATCTTTAGCGTCCATATCTGCTTTTTTTTCTATGTTCTGGTGTCAAATTATTTTTTATAACAATATAAGTTTCTAACAGTTTAAGCAAAAGTTTTAAAAACAGCACTGCTAATGAATAAACATCTGGAAAATCTATTTCTAATCTATAAATGTAGCAATTACAGAATACTAAATATTTAACATTTTCTAGCACAGAGTATTTTTCCAAACGGAACTTGAGATAGTGATCTTAAGTAAGCAGCCAAGAGTGGGACGATTACTCAAATAGCAGGGACTTAGTGAATCCTCAAACCCAAAGCGCTTTCTTTCTCTGAAAGACTCTGTTTTCTTTTTTTAAAAAAGAAACTTTGAATTATCAACGTAGTTACATTAGCTATCTATGCTGTGTAACAAATTATCCCCCAATTTAGCAGCTTAACAACAAACTTACTATGTCATAGTTTCTGTGGGCCAGGAACCCAGGTGAGGCTTAGCTAGGGAATTTGTAGCCCAGGGCCTTTCCCTTAGTTGCAGTCAATCTGTTGGCTGGGGCTGCTGTCATCTGGAGGCTCTAGGACAGCCGTGGGCAAACTACGGCCAAAAAAAAGACCAAGACTGTACCCTTTTATGTAATGATGTTTACTTTGAATTTATATTAGTTCACACAAACACTCCATCCATGCTTTTGTTCCGGCCCTCTGGTCCAGTTTAAGAACCCATTGTGGCCCTCGAGTCAAAAAGTTTGTCCACCCCTGCTCTAGGAGCTGCCTCCAGGTTGACAGTGGTGACTCATGGGCCTTAGTTTCTTGCTAACTTTTAGCCAGAGGGTTCAGTCTCTCAACACAGGGTCCTCTACTTAGGCTGCCTGGGTGTCTTCATATCTTAACAGGTGGCTTCCCCCAGAATGAATGGTCTGAGGAAAGGAAGCCATCAGTAACCTAATATTGGAAGTGATATAACATCTCTGCCATATTCTACTCCTCATTGATCAACCCTGGTACAGCATAGATAGGGACTCCAGGAGGTGTGAATACCAGGAGGTGGGATAATCAATCATCATACTAGCCATTTCAGAGGCTGGCTACCAGAGTAGTACATACTAAAATAGTTCCTGGAGAGTTTTAAAATCTTCACCAAATGTTAAAACAAAGCAGTAAAAGGAGATGTCAGAAATATCTTGATAAATTTTTATAAATATAATTTGCTTAATTCTTTAAAAATTAAGTCCATTCTATATGTTTTATATCCTGATCTTTATTAAATAATATTCTTTAACATTTTACTATATCAATAACTATTCTTCAAAAGCATGTTTTTAAAATACATTTTGTTTTTGGTATGGATGAGGCATAATCTTTATTACAGGCAGTCCTCGGGTTACATCCGACTCGAAGTACGTTGTTTCGTGGTTACGTCGCCATCTCCCATAAAAAGTTCTGTCATTTTGACGTATGTACACATGTGCTTTGTTTTCTATTATTTATTTACCACAAGTAAAGGTTAGGAATTGTTATCTTTCTTTTAATTTTTTTTTTTTTACTTTTCACTTCATTGCTGCTGTGTATGTGCTCCATGTGAGTGATGTAGGTGCTTATGTAATTATTTAGAAAAAAATGGAAATGTGATGTGGGTCAAAGGATTTGACTATTTTAAACACAAAATCTTATTTACTGGATTCGCATGTATACATTTGAATGCATTTTATACCTATTTGGGGCATAGTCCAAGGCAATATTATTTTGACAAGAAATGAAAAATTTATCTGCTAACCGCTACAAATATGAAAGTGAAACTTCTGGAATTCAGCAGGTCCCATTTGTAAAATTGTAGGGGCAAGGGGGATTAAAATATAAAAACCAGCAGTCTGGAAACAGGTCGGGCCCTGCATGGCGATGGAATCATCTGGGGTGAGCCAGTGTGTTCCTGGCTCTGATGAGTCAGCATCTCTGACCTCAGCTTCGAGCTAATGGAAATTATTTATCTCTGCTTTCTGTACCTTGGAAAATGGTAGATTTTAAGGTCCATCCTGAGAGATGCCCCTACACTGCCATGGCCCTCTACTTGGGGAATAGGTGCGAGTAAAATGTTTCTTCAGGCAAAACACCTTTCTAGAGCTAGACTTTGCATATTTAAATCTCTGCACCTTGCCGAGTGTGTGTGTGTGTGTGTGTGTGTGTGTGTGTGTGTGTGTGTGTCAACTATTGATATGAAGCAGAGAAAAATGCCTAGTCTGTGCCTATGTATTGAATAGAAACAGCACACTTGCCTAACCAGCAACAAATGGCCGTGAACATGAGCAGTCTCGGAAGCCCCCTGTCAGTAAAGCATTATCCTGAGTTCATTTGCCTGTGCTTAGGATGGATGCAGCAGTAATGTGTTCATGCCTTTTACTCAACTTTGCTTCACCTCCTTTTGTTGTTCTTTGTGTTTCGTTCCTTTCTGGTAAGTGATTAAGTAGATACTGTCAATCTGCCAACAGTAATAACCAGCTCTCTCAGCAAGAACATATGAAACATAAGAATGTTATTTTTTAATTAGCCAAAATGTTGCACTGTTCTCTTGGCAGAGAGAATGATTCCTAGGCACCTTTCTTTTTCAGAGATGGTTTTGGAACACAAGCATTTCCTCAATAGCATTCATTACAAAAAAGAAAATCATTCCCTGCCTTCTCTTTTGTATGGACAACACAGTTTTGTTTTGTTTTATTAAATCATAATTTACAGGGAGCCCTAACTGTTTTGGCTCAGTGGATAGAGCATTGGGCTATGGACTGAAGGGTCCCAGGTTCAGTTCCAGTCAAGGGCACATGCCTCAGTTGCAGGCTGGGTTCCCAAACAATTGATGTGTCTCTCACACTGATGTTTCTCCTTTGTCTCTCCCCCTCCCTTCCACTCTAAAAACCATTGGAAAAGTATCTTCAGGTGAGGATTAACTAAAAAAAGAAAAAAATATATCCTCAGGTGAGGAGTAACAAAAAAAAAGTTACTGTGGCTTCACTTGTTTGTACGATTTCCACGTTTTGCTTTATCTGCTGTGCAAGCGGGTGAGTGGAGAGATGTACTTGTTGGCCTGAGCTTGGAGGCACTATTAGTCAGCCCTTTCACTAATTAGCCTGTCACTTAACTCAGTGTTTACTATGCTTAATTGTAAAATAAGGGCCTGGACAAGATCAGTCCGTAAACTGGGACTTCACAGTTCACATCACCCAAAGTTAAACAAATGCAAGACTGTTCTCATCAGATTCTCAGAGTTGCTTGTGACCTAAGAAAGGTAAAATAATTGGGCTAAATTGCAGGTTCTCAAATCCCAGCATGCATCAGGATCACCCAAAGGACCTAAAATTGATTGCTGGCCAGACCTCCCACTGAGTTTCTGACCCGGTAGGAGTGGGGCAAGGTCTGAGAACTAGTTTCCGGGTGGTAGCTGATCCTCGAACCATTGGGCCAGGTAGCTACTAAGATTCACTCCTTGCTGATTTTCTGCAGCCATTCTGTCTTCAATAAAGGAGGCAGGTTTTATTTTTCCTCATATCTGTATCTTTGATTGCCATTCCTCACAATGCATAGCTTGGCAAGAAATGGTGTTCAGCAAATGGGAGAGATTGTGCGTTAAGAATTCCTTTTAAAGGAATTTATAAAGGTTGATTATAAATTCATCTAACATATTCCTATACCTTCTTTAAAAGTTCAGCATTGGGATCACAGCCGGACTGCTACTTACCAGTAGTAAGAATTTGGATTAATGCACCAAGTAGAAATGCATCCTAATTGATTGTGTAATTCTCTGAAACAGCCGATAGAAGGTGGGCCCACACTTTATAAAATGATCCTTGTAAAAGAAGCAAAAATACTTTTCTCATAAAAGTACTTTATGAAGATTGCCTAGTCAGGTTCTGTAACAGCAAAGTGTGGGTGTTGACCACAGAATGGTGACCAACTCTGACCCCCTTAGGTTCCCCCCTCCATTCTAGAACAGGTCTCTAAAAAAGGTAAAATAGCTTTGGGCTAGTTTACTGGTTCTCAAACTGGGGTGTGATTGGAATCCCCTGGAAGGGCTTGTTTATTACAAATTGCTGACCATAGCTCCAGAGTTTCTGACTGAGCATGTCTGGGGTGGGACCGGAGGATTTGCATTGTTAACAAGTTCCCAGGGCCTGTTGCTGCTGCTGGTCTAGTAACTACACATTGAGAGCCACTGGGATAGAAGGTTCCTAATCCCTTAAGAACAGGTATGTTGAAGCAACCAAGCCTGTAGGATGGAACCTTGATTTAGACCTGCTTGAAGGCTATTGATGCATTTGTTAGGAATGGGATACCTAAAGAAAAAGAAAAACGGCTGAATTTCTATAATTTCTTCCCTAGCTCTCTCAACCTCCTGTTTCTTCTGAAACCCTAAAGTATTTTTAAAAGGTACAGCAGGGTTTGAAAGATCTCAATTTAGACACTTCTTAAAATTAAAAGAAATAATCCTTTGAGTTCATCCTGGAACCATTCTCAACATTCTCTTTCTCCTTTCCCAGGAAAACCCAATGGTTTTCCAAGTGTACAGCCCAACCAGTTGCATCAGCATCACCTGGGAGGAGCTAGAAATGCAAATTGTCAGGCTTTGCCTAGGACCTGCTAAATCAGAAACTCGTGGGTAGACCCAGCAATCTATTTTACCAAGCCCTCCTGGTGATTCTGGTGATGCAT